CCATTAACTCTTGAAACAAAATGAAAAAGAAAGTCTGTAGGCTAATTTCATACCTGAACAAAGTGACAAACATACAAATATTTTATTTTATTTATTTTTAATTTTAACTTTTAACATGCAGGGGTACACGTGCAGATTTGTTACATGAGTATATTGTGTGGTGCTGAGACTTGGGTGCAACTGAGCCCATCACCCAGGTGGTGAGCATAGTACTCAATAGGGAGTTTTTCAAGCCTTGCCCTCCTCCTTTCTTCTCCCCTCTTGTAGTACCATTGTGTATTGTTTCCATTTTTATACCCATAAGTAACATATTTTTAAAATCTAGCTATATAATTTCTTAAACCATTACTAATTAAGATTTATCCAAGAATGTAAAACTGCCTTGGAAGATCTATCAATATAAATTATTGCTTTACCAGATTAAAGGAGAAAAACTGGTTTCTTTAGAAAATGCAGAAAAGGTATTTAATGGAATTTAACAAACACTCTTCATGAAACCAAAATATCCCCCCAAATAAACAAAGTATTTTAAACAAACTAGGAATAAATGGGAACTTCCTTAACTTAATAAAGGATGATTTCAAAAACCTATTGCAGATGAGGTGCGATGGCTCACGCCTGTAATCCCAGTACTTTAAGGGGGCCAAGGCGGGAGGATTACTTGAAGCCAGGAGTTTGAGACCAGCCTGGACAACATAAAGAGAGACACCTCGTCTCTTAAAAAAAAATTAAATAAATAAATACAAATAAATATTTTAAAACGATTACAATATCAAACTAATTATGTCAAAAACATAAGAACACCCCTCATTCTACTTTCAACGTTATACTGTGGGTTCTAATCATCATAACACAAAAATAAAAGAAAAAGTTAAAATAGTTAAATGTTTATAGCAGCCTTATTCATAATAGCTCAAAACCTCTAAACAACCCAAATGTCTATCAACAAGCGAATCAGTAAACACACAGAGTTATTCCACACCATGGAATACTATTAAGTCATAAAAGAAAGAATGGGTCTACTCAGGAGGCTGAGGCAGGAGAATTGTGTGAACCTGGAAGGCAAAGGTTGCAGTGAGCCGAGATCGCGCCACTGCACTTCAGCCTGGGCGACAGAACAAGACTCCGTCTCAAAAAAAAAAAAAAAAAAAAGAATGGGTTGCTAATACAGGCAACAATATAAATGAATCTTAAAAGGGCATTACGGCATGCAAAAGCAAGCAGTCTCAAAATAATATATACTTTATTATTCTATTTATATAAAGAGCAAGGACAGGAAAAACCAGTTGATCGGTAACAAAAAAATGTTGTTGGTTGCTTAGAGTTGGGAGATGGGAAGGGATAGCAAGGAAGCACAAGGTGACTGAAGTATTCTATATTTTGATTGCGGGTGTTAATTACATAAGGGTATATAATTATCAAAGCTAACTAAAATAAATAATTAACATCTGTGTATTTTATTGTATGGCAATTATATTGAATCTTTAGAAAGCACAATGGACACAAAAGGCAAAAGATCAAGAAAAAGCGGAAACATAATTAATAGATTACATGTGTATACATAGAATATGCAAGAGAATTAATGATTAAATACTAATACTAATAAATTTCAGTAGGCTTGCTAGAAATCAATATACAAAAATCAAATTATTTTTTAAATGTATTTTTAAAGGACATCATTAACCACAGCATTAAAAGCTCTAAGATACCCATAAATAAATCTAACAAGTGATATGTAAGATTGTTATTGAGAAAGCAACAAAACTTTATTGAAGAAAGAGAGAAAGAATTTACTATATTCATGGATGGGGGGGTTCAGTACTTTAAAGATGACAATTTTGGGCTGGGCGCGGTGGCTCACGCCTGTAATCAGAGCACTTTGGGATGCCGAGGCGGGCGGATCACGAGGTCAGGAGACTGAGACCATCCTGGCTAACATGGTGAAACCCCGTCTCTACTAAAAATACAGAAAATTAGCCGGGCGTGGTGGCGGGCGCCTGTAGTCCCAGCTATTCGGGGGGCTGAGGCAGGAGAATGGCGTGAATCAGGGAGGCGGAGTTTGGGGTGAGCCAAGATTGCACCACTGCACTCCAGCCTGGGCGACAGAGAGAGACTCCGTCTAAAAAAAACCAAAAAAATAATTTTTCCCAAATTTACCTATAAATCCAATAAAATTTCAATAAAAATTTCAGTAGGGTTTTTCAAAGAACTTGACAAGATGATTCTTAAATGCATATGAAAGAATAAAAATTCAAGAATAGGCTAGACAATTGTGGAAGAGAAGGAGGCAGAGAAGTAGGAAAAGGAAAAAAGCGAGGTGGTTATCCTTTTGAATATTGATACTACATTATCATGTAAAACTACACTAAACAATGTGATATTGCCACAGGGAATAGACAGCGTAGGAATAAAACCACTTAGATATTTAAATTTGGAATATGACAGAGATAACATCACAAATCACTGGGCAAAGAATGAGACTATTTATTAAATGATGCTGAGACATCACCTTATAGAAAAAGATAGGTCCAACTATTTATATGAAAGAGGGTAAAACTGGGTACTACTTCATAGCACACACAAAGTCGCCTAAATGTGAAAAGCTAAATTAAAAAAAAAATGTATAGAAGAATACCTTGATGACATCTGAGTACTGCCGTATTACTTATAATGCTAAAAGCATAAACCATATTGAGAAAAGAAAGTATTGAGAATGTAACTACATTAAACTAAATACTTCCATGTATCAAGATGACAACAAAAAGAAGGTCAGTAGCTACCCTGGGAAGGTGTTTACAACCTATATAACTGACTATATTGGCAGAATGTCATAGAATTCTTTTAAAATCGGACAACATGAAAATCCAAGAAAAAAATAAGCATAAATAGATAATAAACATGTTAAAAGATGCTCTTACCTCTCTAGTAATCAAAGAAAAGTCCAAATGAGAATAATAATGAAATACCACCTCATACCAATAAGATTGGCAAAAATCAGTGAACCCAATGATACGAAGAATGGAGTTAGTGAGAAATGGAAAACCTTATACAGTGCTGGCAGGACTGCAAGTTGGTACAATTACTTTAAAGAGCAATTTTGGAATAACTAAAAACAAAATGTTAATATGAGTAACCTATCAAGCAGAAATTTGACTTCTAGATGTTTACCAGAGAGTAAGTGCACAAGGAGGTACATTCAAGACGATTCATTGAAACATTGTTCATAATAGTAAAATAACTGGAAAAAGACCCCACAAATGTTATAAAATTATGTACTTTTTAAAAAAAAGACAAATCATTTTTATGGATGCATACATGTTTTGAGAAAGTATATAATGATACACAGCAATAGCCATACAGCAGTGGGATATGGCAAAGGGCTCCAGGGCCAGATTGCCTGGCACACCAGCTGTGTGGCCTTGGACAAGCTGCTTAACCAATTTTTTCTCAACCTCTCATCTATAAAATGAGGGATAATAATAGTATCTATGTCATATGTCTGCAGTGGGCATTTAAGGAGTTAATGTATGTAAAGTGCTTAGAATACTGCCTGGCATATAGTAAATTTGCGGTTTTTATTACCATCATTATCATCATCATTGCTGCTGTCATCAACATCACCATCAAGACAATGGTTACCTCTGGGAAGTAAGGGGGAAGGATAGAGAGAAATCTACAGCTTTATGTATAAGTAAATATGCCTACATATTAACATATATTAAATTCGAGTTTAATATGAATACATTGTCGGGTGTATTTTAGTATATGGCTGTTGATGTCATATAACTTGGTTTTTGCTGTGTGTTTCAGATTGTTCATATATTAAAAGTGTTTTTTATGTAAAAACATGACTATTCTGTGAAATATTATGGAAAAATGTTTAAACTCTATTGTGGATTGAGTGACCATAAGATGAAGGTATTCTAGGAACATGTTTTTGGGCAAATGCTTGACAGCTAGCTAGCAACAAGCACGTTACAATTGCAAGTTGCAAGTTAATATTTGAAAAAAGAAAAACCAGAGAAGTTAAAAGTATTTCTTTTTAGGCACATCTGAGATCCAAAGTAGCAGGAAAAAAGGAGAGAAATACAGTTTCTAGGGAGGACTTAAACACACAGGACCTGGAGATGCCACAGAAATACTGTTGGTTGATGTAAGTATTAGAAAAATATATTCACTGAGAAAACTATTATAGTATCCTGTAGAACATTTGTTCATTTTTAAATGAATATTTATTGTTCTTGAATTATGTATACATTTATGTTTTCTGTTTGTCTTTTTGCCTGAGGCAGACTTCAGCTATATTTTAAAGAGGAACATAAAGAAAACTTTTATATTCTTTATGTGCATATACCATAATAAAGGCTTTTATGGCTATATTCCTAGAAAGACATTCTCTGTCTTGGTGCTTTCAGTGGCAAGTGACAATAACCATCGACACCTCTCTTAAACAATAGAGCTTCATTATTTGCAAACCTAAGGAGTCTGGGGGGAAGCCGTGCTAGGGCTGGTTCGGCTGCTCAACAACACCCACAAGACTCAGGCTTTTTCTGGCTGCTTATTTTGCCCTCCTCTGTGTTGGGATGTTTTGCCCAAGGTCATGAGATCGCTGCAGCAACGCTAAGCATCATGTCTTCCCACAGCCAAGTTCAAAGGCAGAAAGCAAATGGGGTAGCAGAACTCTTGCTCACCTCCTGTTTTCTCAGGCAGGAAAATCTTTCCCAGATGCCCCTCCAGAGAATTTCTCTTCCACCACCTTGGTGACCAGAACTGAGTCACAAGGACATCCCTAAATTGTTCACTGGCAAATGGAATTGGGATTGTCATGACTGTGTGAGGCTCATCATGAATTTGTCTCCTAGGACTGGAATCATACCCTTCTGGCCTATTGCCACCTGTATCTGAACAAAACCAGGGTTGTATTACCAAGGAGGAAGAGCCACAAAGAGCAACATGGGCGAGTCTTACGGAATGGAAAAGGCAAAGGCGGAAAACAGAGAAAACTCAGAATCGTGTAGTACCTACTCAGTTTTCTCTAATGAGATATTTCACTTGTGGCAGACACTGTTGGCTGTTGGGAATTACCCAGCTCTTTCTTGACAGGAGTACCAGATTTGTTTATATACTGGGGGGCCAAGTGTTTTCCAAAGGACTCACCTAGTGGTGAATCTTAATTGCTCTGTACCCATTGTGGTAAGCCCATCCCTGTTGCCAGAAACTGCGTTTACGAATGAGAAACAGAATGTGAAGGGAATTGGTGGAGCCTCTAGAAAGGGGCAGGAGAGAGGAGACCCTCTCCGTGGTTATGGAGCATTGTGGTACAAGGGTGTCTTTACTGTCACTGCTGCTGCCATGGTGCAAGCCTGAGGGGTGCAGGGCTTTAGCCACCATAGTGAAAATGGGCCCTGGATGATACTGTTGAGCTCTAGATTAATTAACCATTTAACCACTCAACTCCCAAACTTCTTGAAGAAATAACCATTTCTCTTCTTGGCTTAGGCCATTTTTGTTTGATTTTTCTGTTGCTTGCAGTCGAATCATCCTGATACCATACTCACACTGAAATGTATAAAGCAAGTAATTTAGTGAGAGATTTTGAAAATCTAGGTAGATAAGGAGCTAACAGAAACACATCTGGCTGCTTTAAACTGGTTTGAATCCACATGTTCAGAATAATCAAGTCCCACAATATTTAAAGGAAACCTTTTATTAAAGGTTTCCTATGTATAGTACTTTTCTGGATCCCACGATGAGGCAGAGACTGAGAGGGCACAGGGATACAAAAAAGTACAAAATGAATGATCCTTAAATACAAGAAGTTTATAATGCAGTTGAGGAGAACATTGACAGTAAAAATCCTAAATCAGATATCAGTTTTAAGGTGGTCCCATTATTTTCAAGGACGGCACCTATTATCAATCAAGCAATAAATTGTACTATCATATCATAATGTATCAAATATTAGAATCCCTCACCACACAAAAATCACTGGGTCCTAAAGTATATAAGACAAATCTTTAAATTCATAAGATCGGTCCTTCTTTTGAAATAGCTGCTGACATCTGAACAGATTTACTTTACCCCTAAGCAAACTGAAAATTCATAAAGACACAAGTCCAATTTTTCACTGAAGCATTTTACCATTTATGAACCATCATAGACTCATTAATTTAGTAGAGTCTAAATTAATGAGACTTCACTGTATTTGCATTGGAGTATGGTGATTTCCAGTTGGATGGTTTATCTTTAAATTTGTGGATGAAAATAAAGGTAACAGAGATGACAGAGAGCAGGTTGACCTGCTCACACTTGATGTATACGTTTTGGTATTTGTGGAGAAAGTGCCCAAGGCAAGAAAGACTCTAAGTAGTGATGGGTGCATTCTGCCTTCCTGGATACCCTGAGGTAGATGAAGAGTGCTGAGCCTTGGCAGGAAGGCAGCAACCCAGATATGAAATACTTTGGTTCTGAATGTGTCTACCAGAGCATATATTTATTAAAATTCCATTCTAGACCATAAAGCAAATGAATCAATAAATAAAGCAGTAGCTCCCACTAGCTAAGTCAGGTTTGTTTTGTATTTTGTTGTAGTGACTTCTAAATAGACTTTTGTTGTAATGTGAGTGATTTAGCAGCCCTGGCTTTATTTTTATTTTACAATATTTAATTGCCAAGATATCGTATATATTCAAGGTGTACAATGTGATGATTTGATATGCATATACATTGTGTGCTGACTACCACAAATTAATTAACACATCCAGTACCACTGATAGTTACGTGTGTGTGTATGAGACAGAGAAAGAGACAGAGATGAGGACACTTAAAATCTGCTCACTTATCAATCTTCATGTAAACAATACAGTATTATTAACTATAATCACCATGCTATACATTAGATCCCCAGAGCTTACTCATCTTATAACTGAAAGTTTGTATTCTTTGAGCATCTCCCCATTTCTCCTACTCTCCAGCATCAAGGGATGAGAGGGTGTTTCAATTTCTACAACATTCTCTTCATCAGAACGATTGCTGTCTCTATTAGTCCATTCTTGCATTGCTATATAGAAATAATGAGACTGGGCTGGGCGCGGTGGCTCATGCCTATAATCCCAGCACTTTGGGAAGTCAAGGCAGGCAGATCGCGCGGTCAAGAGATCAAGATCATCTTGGCCAACATGGTGAAATCCTGTCTCTACTAAAAATACAAAAATTAGCTGGGCGTGGTGACACGTGCCCATAGTCCCAGCTACTCAGGAGGCCAAGGCAGGAGAATCGCTTGAACTCGAGAGGTGGAGGTTGCAGTGAGCCGAGATGGCACCATTGCACTCCAGCAAAAAAAAAAAAAAAAAAAAAAGAAATACCTGAGACTGGGTAATTTATAAAGAAAAGAGGTTTCGCTGGCTCACGGTTCTTCAAGTTGTGCAGGAGGCATAGCAGCTTCTGCTTCTGGGGAGGGCCCACTCAGGAAGTTTCTAATCGTGGCAGAAGGCAAAGTGAGAGCGAGGCACTTCACACAGCTGGAGAAGGAGGAAGAGAGAGAGTGGGAAGATGCCACACACTCTTAAACAACCAGATCTCAGGATAACTCACTCACTCACTGTCAGTGAGAACTGTACGGAGCGGCCAGTGCTAAACCATTCATGAGAAACTGCTCCCATGATCCAGCCACCTTCCATCAGGCTTCACCTCCAACGTTGAGCTTACAATTGAACATGAGATTTGGGTGGGGACAGGGATCCCAACGTTATCACTGTAAGGGGTATCTGCCCTCCACTTCTCATGGAATCCTGCAATCTTGGAGGAGAGCATTACTCCGTTGATGGTTAAATGAGCCTGTTTTAGTGTCAAGGTCATGAAAGACAAGAAATAAAGCTCTCCCATACTGGAGGTGACTGAAGAGGTGTGACAACTTAGTACAATGTGGTGTATCCTGGATTGAATCCTAGAGTAGAAAAAGGACATTAATGGAAAAACTGAGAAACCCCAAATAAACTCTACAGTTCAGTTCATAGTATTACACCATGTTAATTTCTTAGTTTGGATTAATGTATCAAGGCTACATAATACACAACCGTAGGATGCAGAGCCTACAAAAACACTCTGAATAGCTTTACAGTACATTTTTATTTTTTCTGGGTATTTAAATTTACCGCATCGGCCTAAATTAAACTTTTTAAAAGTAAAACACTTTTAATAAATTATCTTCTGTGCGACAGAAGAGACAACATGTGTTTCTCCAGAGAAACTGATGATGTTTGCAGAGTGATTATTGGGTATAGAACCTACTTTGAGGAAATTCAGGCAAGTTGTTTGACTTTATTTCAAGGTAAATATAATGACCACTATATAGGCTATATGGACATAGCTCATTTTCTCAGGTGAAATTTATGGAAGTGAGGAAAAGGTTAAAGTATACACTGGCAAGGCTGCTACTCATTACCTGCTCGTCAGTTTGTTTACCAGCTGTGTTCTGAGAAAGAACTAGGGTTCTGGGAAGTTAAGAGGCAGGCCAAGGAGGTTATTGGGAAGTGAGAGTATGGACCTTGGGTTTCCAGTCTTGTGTGTATAACAGCTGTCCTTCAACCTGTACTTTGGAGATATTTTCTGCGTAAGATTTCATTTGGTCAAAATGTTGCATTGCATGGATTTGTCCATGGAGGGGTTCAGAGGTTCTCTTTTGTATTTTTAAACTATTCTCATGGAAAATGTCAAATATTAACAAAAAATAGAGAAATTAGTTGAGTGCATCCTCATGTACTGATCAACCAGCTTCAATAACAATCAACTCGTGGCCATTCTCGTTTCATCTATACCATAATCACTCCCCCAGCAACAGCTCTCATGTGATTATTTTGCAGTAAATCCCAGACATTACATCATTTTATCTGTAAACATTTCTTTATGTATCTTTAAGTGATATCATTTTTGTAAAAAACATAACCACAATATCCTTATCATACCTTAAAAAATGAAAAATAGTGCCTCATCAAATTTAAATTTCCGTAGTTACTCATAAGATTTTTTGTTTTATAGTTTGTTTAAACAAGATCCATGCCTTGCTTTTGGTTTTTATGTCTCTTAATTGTCATATAATCTAAAGGTCCTGCCTTTTGCAATGGTTTGTTCATTCTGCAGAGCTTTCCAGTTTCTGGGTTTTGCTGATTAGGTCCTTGTGGTATCATTTAACACATTCTTCTGTCTCTAGGCTTTTCTTCTGCTGACTGTTCTGTAAACATTCTTTCCCATGCTGGTCTCTGTTCTGGCACCAGTGGTGATCTCATTCACTGCCACGGCTTTATTCCAGCCCACTTGAGATATGCACACCCAACTGCTGGGTAGAAACCACCACTTAAGTAGCCCACGGTCACCTCCAATTTCAAAAAGTCTGTCTAAAACAGACGGCAGTCTTCTCTCCCTTCATCTACCAGACTTCATCCCTGCAGTGTTCCTTCTCCTCAGTGAATGGAACCACATTCTGCACCAAGGCCATGCCAGGAACATGGGCTCCACCTATAACTCCTTCCTCTTCTGCACCCCCTACATCCAATCCATTCCAGTCCCTGTTAATTCTCCCAGAACCATCTAACCCGTCCACTTGTCTCCATGTCCAAGGCCAGCAATCTTGTTGATGCCACTAGTATCTCTAATCCTGGATTGTTTTAGCAGCATCCTAACTAGTTTTCCTGTCACAATTCCTGCCTTATTTTAAATTATTTTTTCATTCTGCATGTAGAATGGTCTCTTGAAAATAAACCTGATCGGGTTGAGCATGGTGGTTCACGCCTGTAATCCCAGCACTTTGGGAGGGCAAGGCGAGTGGGTCACCTGAGGTCAGGAGTTCGAGACCAGTCTGGCCAACATGGTGAAACCCCATGTCTACTAAAAATACAAAAACTAGCCAGGCGTGGTGGCGGGCACTGGTAATCCAGCTACTTGGGAGGCTGAGGCAGGAGAATCGCTTGAACCCGGGAGGTAGAGGTTGCAGTGAGCCGAGATTCTGCCACTGCACTCCAGCCAGGGCAACAAAGTGAGACTCCATCTCAAAAAAAATAAATAAATAAATCTGATCATGTTGCTCTCCTATTTAGAACCCTTCAATGGCTCTCTATTGCTCTGAGAATAAAAGCTAAATTGTTAAACACAGAAAGCCCTTTAGGATCTGAACCCTGCTTACTTTTCCAAATTTATTTCTCCCCTCCTTTCCCCCTACCTTCTTTTTTTTTTTTTTTTTTGAGATGCAGTCTCGCTCTGTCGCCTAGGCTGGAGTGCGGTGGCTCGATCTCCACTCACTGCAAGCTCCACCTCCCGGGTTCACGCCATTCTCCTGGCTCAGCCTCCCTTGTAGCTGGGACTACAGGCACCCGCCACTGCGCCCGGCTAATTTTTGTATTTTTAATAGAGACGGGGTTTCACCGTGTTAGTGAGGATGGTCTCGATTTCCTGACCTCGTGATCCGCCCGTCTCGGCCTCCCAAAGTGCTAGGATTACAGGCGTGAGCCACTGCGCCCGGCCTCCCCCTACCTTCTATCCTGCACCCCAGTCATGAGAGACTCCTC